GGGCCTGCCATGGCTTCCGTGTAGCTGTAGGCTCATCCAGATTTACCAGTGTGTTATCACTGATAAGTGTCTCACTTCTGCAGTAATATGAAAACCATAATAATGCTCAGGTGCATTCCTAACTCTGGTGGAACGCCTCAGAGGTATAGATTCTTCAGTCGGCTCAACAGGAGTTTTCTCCTCAGGTTGAGGGCTAGGGTTTGAGGTTCCTTCACCACTTGACTCTTGAATTTCCTCAAGGTCAATTTGCCTCCCACTGTCTCCTTGGCTCATGAATTCTCTCTCTCGAAAGAATCTCTTCTTGCTACAAAGACCACATTCATTCACTGGGTCTGTAGAAGATGTAACCAAAGGATTTCTGTGGGTAGCCGATGAAAAATACACCTTTCGCTTCGGGTTTCGAGCTTATCGTGAGTTTCTCGCGTCTCACGAAAGCCTCGCAACCCAAATCTTGATGTGGTCTAGATTGGGAACTTTTCCCAGTCCCACACCTCGTGAGGTGTTTGGCAACCTTCTTTGTAGGGACTAGATTAAGGATATGGGCGGCAGTCTCTAAGGCATACCCCCAAAATGAGATTGGTAGCGAAGCTCGACTCATCATGGAACGAACCATGTCCAACAAGGTCCAATTGCGCCTCTCAGCTACACCCATTCAACTGTGGTGTCCTAGGAGGTGTCAATTGTGAGACAATCCCACGTTCCTTAAGATAGTCAAGGAATTCAGTACTAAGATACTCACCACCACGATCGGATCGAAGCATTTAATATGTTCCTGCCCAACTGATTCTCCACTTCTTTGCTTAAACTCTTTGAATTTCTCAAAGGTTTCTGACTTATGCTTGATTAGGTAGACTATCCATATCTACTAAAATCATCAGTAAAAGTCACATAGAACCGATTAGCATCTCTTGTGCGGTTCTGAAGGTCCACACACATCCGTGTGTATGAGGTCCAACAAACCTTCACCCTAGCACAAGTGTCAGTAAAAGGTGACTTTGTCATTTTACCAAGCAAACAAGATTCACAACTATCATCTGACTTTAGGTCAAATGACTCCATGACTCCATCCTTTTGGAGTTGGCCTATGCGTTTCTTGCTTACATGTCCAAGACGACATGCCATAAGGATGCTTTATCTAAGCTAGTGGAAGAGTTAATACACTACATTATTTCCTAGACTATCTACAACAGATACAGTTTCATACACGCCATCACAAGGTAATGCTTTAAAATAAAGAACATTATTAAAGAAGCATCAATACTACCATTATTATTATACAATAAAAGGTAAAACCTTGTTTATACAATGCATGCAAGGAAATAAAAATTCACATTTCTTGCCATTCTGGCGAATAATAACATTTATTCAAATCTAATGTAAACCCACTATTTAGCACTAAGGAATAAAGTCCTATCTTGGTGACAGGTGAAACTTTCCTGTTTCCCATGATCAAGTTTATCTTTCCCTGCTCCACATTCTCACTTCTTCTTTAGTCCCTGCAAATCACAACATATGTGAATACCACAACCTGTATCAAGGACCCATGACTTAGAATGAGGTGAGTTATTAGACAATATAGTGTATATACCTGCATGGTTGGGTTTTACTTTCCCATCCTTCAAATCTTGCTGGTACTTTTGTTGGGCAGTTTCGCTTCCAGTGCGACTTTTCATGGCAATAGAAGCATTCAGCCTCATTAGGGTTAGCAGAAGGAGTGACAAAACCTTTCTTGGTTTTGCTTGAAGAGGAGCCTTCAAGGGTCTTACCCTTGGTACCCTTAGAAGGGTTCTTTCTCTTCTTCCTTTGCCATGCCCGATTGCCAAGACATTGGCCGCAGTTGGAGTAGGAGTAGGAGTAGTAACAACCGACTTACCCTTTAGACCACTTTCGGCGGTCTTCAAGAGTCCTTGAAGTTTGCTGAGGGTGACTTCTTCCTTGTTCATGTGATATGTCATGCGGAATTGATCATAACACGATGGCAAGGAGTGCAAAATGATGTCTATTGCTAACTCCTCAGGGAAGTTCACATTCAGCTTCAGTAAACGGTCCACATACCTTTGCATTTTCTGCATGTGGCCCGTGATGGGGTTCACCATCCTTCATTCGGGTTGTTATCATGGAGGAGATTATTTCATATCGCTCTTGACGAGCACTTTGATGGTAGCAGTCCATCAAGTCCTGGTGCATCTCAAAAGGATAATAGTCCTCATAGGACTTTTGGAGCTCGGCTGTCATGGTGGCCATCATGATGCATGCCACTTTTGTAACATCTTTTTCATGTACCTCATATTCAGCAAGCTCTTCAGGGGTAGCAGTTGGCTCGGGTACCTTCAGCTCCTTGTCGAGAACATATTCTTTGTTCTCATACCGAGTGACCATCCTGATGTTTCTGATCCAATCTGTAAAGTTTGACCCATCAAAGATGACTCTGACTCCACAAAGATTCATGAGAGAGAAGGAGCTAGTAGGGTTTGAGCCAGAAGCATTGTTATTGGAAGACATCTGAAAAGAAGAGGGAATAGATTAGATTAGATATAGAGATAGTCCTTAACAAAACACCCAAATGTAATATTAAGGCTAGGACCCAACACAATATTTTATAACTTAGAAGAGGGATGCCGTAATCTAAGCTATAAGATATGTGAAGGTAGGTGAATGACGATTCACCAATTTCCACCATGAAAAACGAAATATTTAATTAGGTTTTAATTGGTTTAGAAACTCCTAGATTCTTTGAGATTCATTGAACTTTCTTCAATGGCATGTTTCAATCTCGAGTGTGCCCTTCAAGTTTTGTGACTGGGATGCCGAGGATCACAAAACAAGGTGTGAAGTAACCATGCAAATTACTTGGTACCTTAATGTATTACCCCTCAATCGATGTGCCGGTTAACCACACACGCTCCATCGATACTATGATAAACATTAAGTCACCCTTTACCTACCTTGTTAAGTTCAAGTTAGTGTGCCGGTTAACCACACACGCTACACTAACGACTTAAACAAAGTGTAAAGTGTAATTTCATGGATTAGCACCTTATTCACATTTTCCTAAAATAACTAAGATTGGGAATTCAATAAGGTTAGTTACTTTAGTATTATCATTATACTTTTAATGAGTTATATAAGTCCTTGTCCTACCCGTTCGGCTAACGACCCTCCACCGATCAAGGAAGCGGTGAGTGAGAGTGGACACCCATTAAGTTGCCATTTTATAGGCAAAACCTTATACCCCCCTTATAGACCCGGCTTCGTGAATGAGGCGTAATAGCGGTAAGGACGACTTGATCTTATACATATATAAATATTATTAAACTTATAATATTATAAAGTATAAGGGTTGAATTTTAACTTTTAAATTCTAGGGGTTGGAACTAAAGTTTTTTAATATGACTTTACATGTTCCAAAACTTGAGGGCAAGTTTTGGTAAACTTTCAAAACTTTTCATTTCGCATAACTTATGAGTTAATGGTTATTAAAATGAAGACTCTTCATTTTTTGTAACCTATGTGTTCTTTAATGGTTATTTATAAATTGGACTTTTGGTTATCCATAACTTAAGAACTAGTTATGGACTCCATTAAAACACATAAAGATCAAGAATTAATCTAATCAATTATTCCACATAATTTCTATGATCTTCTAAACTCATATGTTTATAAATGTTCATATCAAAAATTTCAAGAATCGTAAGTACATATAACAAAACTTGAAATTTTGATACGAGCTTTTGAACAAAACTTCGATTTTCAAGTTTTTTTTTTTTTTTTTTTTTGCATCAAGTATCAATAAACAAACCAGGCTCTGATACCACTGATGGGTTTTGAGCATTCTAACACTCCTATGGTGTACATGCACCCTAGAAACCTTGGATCTATGTTTGACTAAGATACATGCAAATAATTATTTTTCAAGGTTCTTATCCTAACTAGCAATGGCATGGGTACTTGAATCAAATAAAACTAGTAGAATTACTTACCTTGTAGTAGTATTTGTTGCTTGGAGTTTGAGAGCCTAGCACCAATAATGTGGATGCCTCAAATGGAAGTCACAAAATCACCACAAACTTGGAAACTTGAGAGAATAGTCACAAACTTCTTGAAATCGGCCCTCTTAGTTTACACACACATCAACTAGTGTTATTTCAAGAACCAAGCCTCCTTTATATAGTGTGGTGGATTAGGGTTACATCCATGTAAACCCTAATCCCAGTCTTTTCATTTCCATGAGATCCATGGGTTAAAGCTCCATGGAGTATCCATGGACTTTCCATGCAAGCCTAGCCCATTCCAAATAAGCATTAGCCCACACTATATAAATACAAGAGCCCATATTTAATTAGTCATACTTTTGATCTCTAAATTAATTCTAAATTAATTATAGATCAACACTAATTAATAATATGATTTTATATTAATATATTAAACTTATAATATAACTAATAAATCATACTTATACTATTCTAAAGATTATCCGTAAATTGTTCGGGTGAAGTGCAACCCAAATGGACCATGCCGGGTCGGGTCAAATAGATACCAAATATAGTTATGGACTTAGACACTGTCTCCAACAAAGGGTGCTACAATGTGTAACCACCATTTTGTCTATTCTATCAATGCACCATTGTTCCATTTCTATAAGTATCTCTTCTCCTTCTGCTATTTCTCCATATTTCTCTCTTTGATCAAACCTTCTCCATTCCTTGTTTCACTGATCAAATCTCTTCATGGCCAACAAAGACATCTCAAGCATCCGTATTGTAATGTCCAAATTAGCCCCAAAAATTTGGCATATGTCATGAAAAAGTATGATATTGACCCCAAATTTCATCCTCGCTTGCCGGAGCCTAGGAATGCCATCGTTGATGCTCTTGAGGAGTTTATTAGTGTATATTAGGTATTCTTAAAATTTGGTCTACGGTTGCCGACATTTGAATTTCTAAACATGTTATGGATTACTACGACCTATATATTGCACATATTAATCCGCATGGGTTCAGATGATAATATGTTTTGTTATGTTGTGCTCTGCTTTGGACATTGTTCCGTCTATCACGGTGTTCCGCCATTTTTATGCAACAATATCCACCGGGGATTGGCTGTCTTTCTCTATTCATCATGTTCTAGTGGAGATTTGTGATGGGATTTCGAGTTCTATCAAGTATTGGAAAGAAGAATTCTTTTGCGTTCATGCTTCAGCCTTTCCTAGACCCATGACTTACGGTGCTTCTGTTGATAGGGCTACTGATCCTGCTCCTGAATTGACCCCCGAGGAGCAAGATATCGTTTATCGTTTGTCATAGAATTTTGTTAAGTGGTCGATCCTAAAGAAAACATGTTGTGTATGGAGGGATAAGTTCTTATTGGAACAAATTGGGGAAATGACCATTAGAAACCTTAGGAGGCAGAACGGTCACTCTCATGGAGCGTTTACACAAAAAATGGCTAGCAAGATCTAGCCTGGTTACGGAGGAGGCACCTATAGCTAATTCACCTTCTCACTCAAAATCTAGTATGGATTCCGCCACCAAGCCCTCTGATCTTGATTCCACCAGTATTGTGCTTCCTTCTTCAGTCAAGAAGGTTGTGAATATAGAGCATGACAACGGGAAACCCCCTTCTTCTTTCACTAGGGAATCTTTAAGGAACTTAGCCTCGAAAAGGAAGCCATGGGTAGGGGTGAGAAGACCCTTTCTTTAGGAGTTGTAATGAGTCGATCAGATACCGTAACTGATCTTTCTTATCCAAAACCAAAAAGGACCGTTCATGGTCGTGATTCAAAGAGCCATCGTCTGACGAACCTGAGTGTTGAACCTTCGATTGAAGTCGTGAATCCTGATTCTTCCTTGGAGCCTTCTCCGACAGTTACCCTTCACGACTATCTAGTTACTTCCGATCACGAATTAAATCATGCCGAAGAGGCTCTTCCTATACCGGATGTTAATGTGCTTGATCCTTAGGATACCCCCATTTTGAATATGGGAACCAACCCTGTGATGATACTCCAAAGCAAGTATTAAAAGGTCGTTCTTCATCAACTCTTTCTATTGCTGCTGTTTCTCAAAAGAAACTTTTTGGCTCTGGATTTGGTCAATTTCAGGTGTCAAATGTTGAGTCTCCAATCGTAACAGTGGACCCTCTTCCTCTTGGTTCTAGTGCTCCCGGTAGCTTGAACACCACTCCCTTGGAAGTTCTTGATACCTCTTCCATGTTTGGAGATGATCCCCATCCTAATCCTTCAGTAGATGTTTCCCAGAAAACTTCTTAACGATAGGTACTTTTTTTATTATATGTATCCTCTTTATCTTGTTTTTCTTTGTAGCACACATTATGATGACGTGACTTGATAATTTTTCATTTATTCCTGCTTTTGGGAAGGAAGCTCCACTGCCAAATCTTGTTACTTTTGCTGCTTTGTTGCCTCAATTTCAACGAGAGTTTGCCACGACCACTATCCCTAAGAGTCTTGAGCTTGCCGATGCGTCTAATGAAGAAAACCTTGATAGGGATCGTTCATGTTTGATGGAGGGAATCCATCTATTGAACAAAATGTCTTTCCACACTCGCAATCATGCCATCCTTCTCGCTGCCAAGCAGCTAAAATTTGAGGAAGCTTTCAAGGCTTTGAAGGGTATGCGCGCCAATCATGAATGCCTAGAAGAGGAGGCGAGGAATCTTTGGGAGGACATATCAGGGTTGTTGGAGAGGAATACGCGCTTGGTAGATGACTTGATTGAGGGTCTCTATTGTCAGGATGAACTGAAGAAGTTGAATCAAGATCGGTTGATTAAAACCGACGTTGTTGGCCGACGCTTGGAGCTGAGCAAGGAATTTGAGGAGAAGTCTCAACAATTTGAATCTATGAAGCTTCGTGTTACTGAAAAAGTGTCTCAGTTGGAGATTGCTTTCTCAGACAAGGATGCACACATTAAATTTCTTGTGGAGGAACTTGCTATTCATAAGGCCACCATATCTGAGAAGGAAACTCAAATTGCGTCCTTGGGCGAACTTCATACCTCGACGAAGTAACATGTTTTACTACATCAGGCTTTGTCGTAGCAAAATGTGTCTGAGTTGCAATGGGTTTTAAGGGAAGCAATTCCTTCCTTTGTTCGAGCTTTATTGAATTTAGGAAATTTTGGTGACGTGAACGTTGCTCTTCAAACTACAGTCGTTCAACTGGATTGCACTAGTCTTATATTGAAATAAAGGAGAAGTACCCTGAGGAGATGGAAGGGAAAAATGTCATCTATTCCTATCCTAATACCAAGCGTCAGATTCTCGACCGTTTTTTCGACATGATAACTAATAAGTATTCATTGCTTAAGCTCCTGGAGGGGAATAAGGTTGACATTGGTGTACTGAAGGAAAGTTGGAAGCTTTGGATTCGACTCGGAAGTTTATGATGCGAGTACCAATGGTTAGGTGATTGATGTGAGAGAATGGTTGATCTTCCAAATCTTCCAGATATGGTCCTTCCAAAGCTTTGGAGAATGGATGATTGTAATTTAGGTGCTTCTATCTTTTGATATGTTTGTGGTTATAATCTTTTGGGATCAGTTATCAATGTTTCATCTTGTATTTTAATTTGTCTTGCTGTCGAATGTTGAATGGTATATGTAACCTTATTGTATTTTTTCTTTATGCTTTACAACTCTTTAAGCCTTCTCGTAAAAGTACCGATCTTCCAAAAGTTCTTGTATCTTTTGTGGAAGCATCGAGCCATGGTTATTTTTAACTATTTTGAATGAAATCTGGAGTCGTAAACTCTTAAAATTTTGTATTTTAGCGATAGCGACTTAGGCGTTTGAACCATCATTTCAAGGTTTATGGTTCACTATAATACCGAACCATAATTAGCAAATTTTATGGTTCGGTATAAGGATAGTATCAAACCGTGATTCGGCGGGCCATGATGAGATACTTTTTATAATGATATTGAACCATAAACTTTCAAGGTTTATGGTTTGGGGCAATAATAATGCAAATCATATTGGGCGGATCTTGGTGATTAAAATAATGTCGAACCATAAACTCTTAAAGTTTATGGTTCGTAACGATAATAGTATCAGACCAGGTTTGAAGGATCATTGTGATTAAAATAATATAGAACCACAAACTCTTAAAGTTTATGGTTCATGACGATAATAGTACCAGACCATGATTTGACGGATTATGGTGATTAAAATAATATCGAACCATAAACACTCAAAGTTTATGGTTCGTGACGATAATAGTATTGGACCATGATTTGACAGATCATAGTGATTAAAATAATGCCGAACCATAAACTCTTAAAGTTTATGTTCGTGACGGTAATAGTATTAAGCCATGATTTTGCAGATCATGACGATCTATTGATCAGAATAATGCAGAAATATAAACTCTTAAAGTAAGTGATTCGTGACAATGATAGTATCGATCCATGATTTGGCGGATCATAGTGATTTATTGATCAAAATAATTTCAAACCATAAACTCTTATAGTTTGTGGTTTGTGACAACAATAGTATCGAGCCATGATTTGGCGGATCATGGCGATTTATTAATCAAAATAATGCCGAACCATGAACTCAACGATAGTATCGAGCGATGATTTGGTGGATCATGATGATATATTGATCAAAATAATTCCGAACCATAAACTCTTAAAGTTTATGATTCGTGACAACGATAGTATCGAGCCATGATTTGGCGGATCATGGCGATCTATTGATCAAAATAATGTCGAACCATAAACTCTTAAAGTTTGTGGTTTGTGACAACGATAGTTTCGAGCCATGATTTGGCGGATCATGTGATGAATCATAAACTCTTAATGTTTGTGGTTTGTCACAACGATAGTATCGAGCCATGATTTGGTGGATCATGGTGATTCTCCTACTTGTTCATGCAAATGGATCAAAAGTTAAAATATTTCATTCAAGATCATAGTCATGTGTTGTACAAAAGGTGACTATTTCATCTAATGCTATTAGTATGACTTTTGATCGCTTGCAAGTAGATTCTTGATCATCATTTAAAAATGAAATTTGTGTAGATTTCGCATGTTCCATGTTCTTGGAAGCCGGATTCCATTTATGTTTTCTAAGAAATATGAGCTATTATGTCTAGCTTCTATGACTTGATATGGTCCTTCCCAATTATGGCTTAACTTCCCGCTGTTCTCTTGACGATTATATTCATTCTTTCGAAGGACCAAGTCTCTTACCTTGCACACATTGCCTTTGACTCACACATTGTAATAGTGTTTCGTCATTTTTTTAGGCCGCTTGTTGTATGGCCGCATTGTTTCATTTTTCTTATAGGGGATCTAGAATTATCCACAAATTTTTACTGTTTGTGCCTTCTTGCGGATTACTGGTTCGAGTATTTCGTATGGTCATTTCTATCAGAATGACCGCTTCTGACCGTATAGTAAACTGAAAGAGGTTTCCTTTGTTGGCGTGCGTGTCATTGTTTTGTATGCCCATAACATACTTTGTAATTCATCAACCCAATTTCCCTTAGCTTGCCCTAACCATTTCTTGAGTCCTCTTACCAAAGTGTGGTTAGTAACTTCCACTTGCCCATTTTCCTGGGGTGAGTCACCGAGGTGAAGTTTTGCTTTATTCCTTTCTATTGGCAACATTTTTTATGGATTGCTGGCAAATTACTTGCCATTTTCACTAATGATGGTGTGTGGGAGAACGAAGCGACAAGCTATTTCATTCCACACGAACTTTTCCACATTCCTTCATGAGATTACTGTTAATGCTTCCGCTTCCACCCATTTGGTAAAATAATCCTCGATCATTATAAAAAATGTTAGCCTTCCTGCTTCAGGGAAAGGACCAATGATATCGATTCCCCACTGGAACAAAGGACAAGGGTTGTGATGCTTGTTAAATTTATAGGTGGAAGAAAAGGGATGTTTGAGTGTATCTGGAAATCATGACATTTTTGAATGAACGCGTTTGTATCTTTAGTCATTAATTTCCAGATATATCTCGTTCGCAGTATCTTTTGTGTGATTGCCTTCGATCCTACATATGCCCCACATATTCTTGAATGCACTTCACGTATGATGAGGCCCGCTTCTTTTTTCGTGATATATTTCAACCAAGGGGTAGAATATCCTTTTCGATATAACCGACCCTCATACATGGTATATTGCGCAACATTGATTCTTACCTTACGAGCTTCTTTTTCGTATGTGGGCAATATACCTTTTTGAAGGAAATGGATATATGAAGTCATCCAAGACTTGTCATCTTTTGAAAGTTCCAATACTTTCGTAACCTGTCCCTTGATGCTTTTCGAACTTTTGGAAAAGATTTATCCACTCCTTCGATTGGGCTAAGTACTTCTTGATGTACATTTCCTTCGCTTCATAGTCTCCCTTAATTTCGTTGACTACCAACATCGAGTCACTAAACACCTGGAATTTCGAGACGTTCATGCTTCATGCTAACCGCAAATCTACAAGTAAGGCTTCATATTCTGATTCATTGTTTGAGCATGAGAATTCGAATCTCAGGGCGTAGGTTGATTTGTCTCCCTAAGAGATGATTAGGATAATTCCAGCCCCCGAACAATCTTTGCTTGACGCCCTATCCATATACAATATCCAATCCCCTGATATTTTCTGTTCCATAGAGCTTGGTTCAGTAATGACTGTTGAGCGGTGGTGTCTTTGATGGACGTTGCAGAGCTATCTTGCTCGTCCGGCATTTCTGTAAGGAAGTCGGCGAGGCCTGGGCCTTAATGATGATTTGTGGCTTGTAACTGATGTCATGTTCCCCTAACCTAATTGCCCATTTAGTCATTCATTCTAATCGTCCAGGTTGCATCAAAATTTGTTTGATGAGTTTATTGGTCAAGACTAGGATCGGGTGTGCCTAGAAGTACCTACGCAGTCGCCTTGCTGCGTAAACAAGAGAAATACTTCATTTATCAATGATTAATTGCGTTTGGCTCCTTGCAACACCCTACTGATGAAGTACATTGGCACATGCTTTTTTTTTCTCTTTCAACCATCAATACTGTACTGATCACTTCTTGGCTTGCTGATAGGTACATTGTTAGTATTTCGCCTGCAATCGAGTTGCCAATGTAGGTAAGCATTTGAGATGCTATGTCAACTTTTGAAAAGCTTCTTTAACCTCATTCGTCCAAATGATGTCATTATTTCCCATGTGTGTTTTCAACGCTTGAAAGAAAGGCACCGATTGTTCTGCCGATTTTGCCAAGAATCTTTTTGAGTGCAGTGAGTTTCCCGTTCAAGCTTTGTATATCTTTCACTGTTATGGGTGTCCCTAACTTCAGCAACACTTCTATTTTTCTCTGGATTCACCTCTATTCCTGTTGTGGTTACAACATGGCCTAAGAATCTCCCCTTCAGCGCCCCGAACATGCATTTATTTGGATTACGCTTCATGCTAGTTGATCTAAGCTACTTTAAAGTTTATTCTATGTTTGTTAGAAAATCTCCGTCCTCCTTACTCTTGATCACCATGTCTTCTACATATACCTCTATATTTCTTCCTATTTTTCGATTGAACACTTTGTCCACTAACCTTTGATATGTCGGTCCTGCGTTTCATAATCCAAAGGGAATTTTTGTTTAGCAAAATGTACATTTCTCCATGTGGAAGGCATTTTGTCTTCATTTGATGTTGCCATTTTCACATGGTGGTAGCCTTTGTATGCATCCAAAAAGGATTTCCACTTGTATCCCCCCACTGATTCATTTTGCTCAATCTCTGGGAGGGGGTAGTTGTTTTTTGGGCATGCTTTGTTAAGAACGGTGAAATCGAAACACGTACACATGGTACCTGTAACGCCCGTATTTCTGGGCTAGGCATTGATGATGATGCAATAGTCTAGGTCAACCATTGTAACTCGTTTTAAAGTAATAAGGATGAATTACTTGAATATTATGTGAATTATGTGCTTTTGTGTGCTTATTACTTGTTTATAATAATATAATAAATAAAGGATAAAAATAAGCGTAAAAAATAAAATGTTAGATAAGCCCGATATCGATA